CGGATCAGACGACGGGACAGATCCAGACAAGCACGCCAGTGCGACAGCAAGGCAGACTTGAAGCCCGGCAGGACGGCGTCGTCCCCGGAGTCGGTCCAGGTGAAGTCTTCTTTCGGTAAGTGCTCCCGGACGTGGTCCGGAACCTGGTCCAAGCGGTTCTCGTACAACGGGTCAAACTCTGGCTCGTAATGAAACATGAAGGCTTCCTTCCTGTCTTTGGACTCCGTGACGTTCGCCTGTATCTCTCGAAACCCACAGTACCCGTATGCAGACGTGTTCGAAGTCAATTTGCGCTTCTCCTCCTCTGGGAGCTTGAAGAACCTGTCCCCGTGTAAGTCGTTCGTCTCAAGTTGACGCCATTGTCGTCGTCGCCGCGTCTTTTTGGTGGCCGGGACCTACTCGAGCCCCTTTTTGTGGGCGGCACGCGTCACATCCTCTGGCACCCCATGATTCTCGATATAGAAGAACCCGCTCGTTTTCGCAGCGTGCAAGATTTCACGGGCCACCGCCTTGCGCGCGTCGAGGTCGCCGTAGATACCACTCAGGTCAATGATGGGAATCTCATCCGGTGTGCAGTCCCGCGGCGGGTTCGTCGACACAAGTCGATACGTCTGGCCCTCATAGCTGCCCAGGTAGATCTTCTTCATCCCAGCGGGTATCGTTTCCGTGGTGGTGGCCATAATGTGTGCGTGCGTAGCGACTAAGGCCGCAGATGTAACAAAAAAATTGGCGCAGATGACGATGTGCTGTGCGACGATTGCAGTCTTCGTGTTCAAACCACGCCTGTTTGGAACCGTTATTATTTTAGACTTTATATCAAAGGCAGACTTACACAGCAGTTACACAACCCACGTTTTGTCGCCACTGGTGTCCCCCGGAGTCCCTACGCACCGCAGATCGAGGTTCCATGCTCGACCAACCCCGGTCCGTCCATATCCGGTTATCTCCACTCCACCTGCAACCCCTTGCTCCGGCGCTGAACGGTTTCCATTGGACGATAAAGTCAGCGAGGACGAGATAACGACATTCCGACTCCGGCTAATTCCGTTTTTGTCCGGCGCGTCCGACGACGTGCCTTTCTGCCATCGTCAATACCGCGGCGACTACGCGATATCCGCATACCCCATCTCCGCAATAGTCGGCTTCGGATTGTCTGGTAATGTCTGGAAGCGAGGAAAACACGATGCAGAACGAGACAGACGCGCCCAACGTCCGTCGCCGCCGGCTCAGCGATGAGAGCCGCCAGGACGGCGCGGGAGGCGGCAGAGACGAGTCAAATCGGAAAAGAAGGCGGCGAATTCTTTCTTGCGATACTTGCCGTCGGCAAAAGTGTCGATGTGAGCTGGACGAGGAGTCGGAGCAGTGTTCACGGTGTCGTTCGCTAAGGTAAGAAGGCGCACTGTCTTGGTTGGTTATGCGGTCTTGAGGTTAGGGCACAATCAATGATTGTGATACCCCAAAACGAGATACCCTTCAGAAATTAGCTCGAAACGGCAGGGCGATATCAGATGGGTTGACTGACAGGGTATAGGATTACCTGCACGTGGAACGACAGCGGTGACACGCATTCCGTCTCTTCAAGAGAAGCACCGACGAGTAAGCCAGACGCGGACGCAAGGTAAGTTCTCCGCCCCCGTGCCTGTTTCTTGCTGGGAGAAAAAATGTCTCTTAACTCTTTTAAAGTGCTAAAAAGACGCAACTCGACAGAATTAAAAGTCTGGAGGCCTCAATAGCTGATCTGAAGGCCACTGTGCAAATGTTGGCGCCTAGCATCAGGCCAGACCTAAAGAGGACTTTGGCTGTGGGCCGTCAGGAAAGACTTATTGCTATTGATAAAAATGTTACTAGCAACAGCGTCATTGATGACAACGACGGGACTGGAAGTGTCGTTAGCGGTGGTACTGGTGGTACCGTTGGTAGGTCGTCTGCAAACGAGGATGTTGAGCCGGCGGATCGACATGTCTACTCCTCTCCCGCCGAGGTAGTTCGAAAAGTCGGAAGCCAGCTAAGCGGAGGGTTCCGAAGAACATTTGATGTTCAGGCTGACCTCGTTTCTCTGGGAATACTGAGCGAGAAGACGGCTCGCGACTTAGTCTTGGAGTAAGTGTTTTCCCCTATACAAAAGTCGTATAAGTACCAGGGTCCGAGAAAAAGAATTGTGGGGGGCCAAGAAGAAAGGAAAAGCGGCGGCTTTGTTCTTGAACAACGCCTAGGTGTGACGGGAAGGCGTTAACGAGCTGGCATCATGTTTTTTTCTTTCTTTGGGTTTATCTAACGCAGCAAACAGATTTGTCCGTCGAAGAAAAAACACCTTGCTGCTAAATAGCGAGATCGACCTGGCCCCGAGGAATAGGGATCTCAGACATGCGTCGCCATTTTTGCATGACGCATGTTGCCTGCATGCAATGAGATTCTCCGAGCACAGCTCTTCAGTTTTGCATCGACGCGTGTTCGAACATGTGCGGTTGCAACTTGGCCAGCTCATGATTGCGAGCCCGTTGCCGCTGGAGGAGTTGATGGGTATTCTCATCATGAGTCTGTGGGCATGTTCGCCATCGGTACGCGATTAAACAAAGCCAACTCTACACTCCAGCAATATGAGGCTGACACAATGCTACAGAGCCCCGAGTATGTCGACAGTTGGCTGTTGAGTGGGCATTGCGCTCAGCAGGCGATGCTGAGCATCAACTTCTCAGAAATTCTGATGAGAACAAAGGCGAGGACTTCGACAGAGGATGACCAGAGAGTCGTACGACTTTGGGCCAATACATGCCTAGTTAACCTTCAGTCAGTTTGTTCTACAACATCAAGTCTCGACAGACTACTGACTTGCATTCTTTAGTTGGGCGGCTACTACAGGTAGGCCAGCGACCGTGCCTTCTGCGTACTTGGCACAATGCAAGCTCCTCCTCAACTTTGAAGAGGTGACCATGCGCGACGCCATGATGTATGCGGAGATCACATTGTACCTTATCCTACAGGACAAATTTTCGCAGCGCTCGTACCTCGGTGCCGACGGGGAATGTGAAGAACTTGCGGCGTGGAAATTGAGGTGGAACTATTTGTTTGGTGAGTATCCAAGTCGACGATGTCAATACCCGGCTTCCACTTTGGGCTATGAACATAATTAAGAAGACAATTGTCAATGCCGATCACTAATATTGTGATATCCCAGAACTACCCGCGGCCTCGACATTGAGGATAAGCCATTCCATCGCGTGGCTAATTCTCGCCCGACGCTCACTTGAGCACGACCAGGCCTCTTCGGACGACGACTCCCTGTCAAGCTCGCCGAGGTTACAGCCAGCTGATGCCGTGCGTCAGGAGCCGCCTGCTCACCAGAACCCAGAGCTCCACGACTTGGCGCATGCTCGGGTATGCGGCTTCGCGACAGAGGTGGTGAGGGCGTTCGTGGAGATGCCATCCACTCGGGCAGAGGAGCTGCCTGAGTTCCATCGGCTCTGTGTCGCGTACGCCATGCTGATTATTTCCAAATATGAGCAAAAGCCGCCTTATGTCGGCGTAGACAGTGGCAATAACGGCGGCAGCCATGAAGTGCTGCAATTGCTAAAGGCGGCGCAGAAGCAGAATTCAGTGTGGTCGGCCAGCTCGCCGTCTGCGATTCAATTCGGGTTGGAGAGAGCTTTGAAGAAGGTCACCGCGCGGGTCGAGGGGACGGGCGGTCCGAATGTAGCAAGCGTGGCGGCGGCAGCGGCTACGCCCACAACAGCCATCGTCACGGACAACCGCGCGCCGCACAGGATCGCCATGGCGTCGCCGAGCAGCCTTAGGGAGCAACAGGTAGCTGCTGGTGGTACGCCGGCGGCTTGGGGACAGCATCATCAAGACGCAAGAGGACAGCAGCAACACCCACCGCCGCACCCACAACAGGATCATCCATCCTCGTTCAGTGGCACGACAATGGTGCCGGAATTTGATGGATCATTCTCTTTGGAGATGATTGATAACTTCTTCAACGGGGGACATCTCAGTCTCGGAGACCCCTCACTCTTCTAGATATGTTTCAAAAATGAGAACGTGCTCCAACCGTAGTGCACTGTCTTGCTGTATAGCTCCGTAACATTGAGAAATTCGTACGAAAGAATCGTGAGTCTGCGTACCTGTTTCGGTACAAAGCAGCTTCTGCGTTCCCCCTTCCGTTGTCAAGAAACACTTCCCTCGTCAAATGAAAGCCAGATCTTTGCAATCCGCACTGATTGTTTCTGTGCCATTTTTTGTCTCGTTGCTGTTCCTCCACGCATCATCGGTAATCGGACTGCTGGGGTTTTCGATGGGGGCGCTTTGAGCTTGTCGTAAACGTCGCGCGTGGAGGGTTTATAGTATCCCGTCGGTCGCCGTTGCCAATCTGCTCTTGTCGGCCCGTTTATTTTTTTCGCGGTCATGATCCTCGAGTCATCTTCGTGCCCGCTCGGATTTTGCGTTTGGACAGGTGCTTCGGTATTGCCATTAATTTGTCAAACGTCGTCTGAGGGGAAAGACAGCGTTAGCAAAGTTGCGTCACCCGCGAGCTTCCTGCATGATTCGCCACTGAAATCACCCTATCCTAGCTGCGCTTGCCAACCAACTGGCAAAACTAGTCTGTAAAGACTTGTCCAACCAATCGACGGCCAGACTACAGCCCGCAGCGTCCTATAATCGACCGTATAGATTCTGGCAAAAGGGCTGAACTCTGTCTCGGATGTGGACGTAGAGCTTCCCTCAGGGTGCCTCCGACCCGGCAAACGTGGTCTGTAGTCGTACGTGAAACCGAAAGTCAGTGAGAGAAAACGGATACCATTTGGCCTTTTTTTTTCTGATTGTCCTCGACGACGAGCGAGAGCCTACTCTCTGCCGTGAAGTGACAGACGAGCAAAAAGAATGGATTGTTCTGAGAGGTGTGCACTGACCAAACTCTTGGACACTGCGAAAGCACAGAAAGGGCTGGGAGAATGATTCGTATTAACCGACGGAGAACCGGGAGGTCGCAAAAAAAGAATTGATGCGCGGCACCGGGTTCGAACCAGTGCTGTTTGGGTTAGCGAAGTTCCCAAAATCGAGAAGATATCAACCTACTTTCTGCCTGTCAACGGAAGTGGGAGGGCAACGAGTTAACCACTACTCCAACCACGCCCCGAGTTCATTGTTTGTTTGCTGGTGAGATTCTGAGAGTGAATGCTGCCTTACGAAGGACGCGGGATGCCCATGTCAGCCAGAAGCAGGGCTTTTCGTGACAGGACGCGTCGTTCTTTCCATTTTCGCTCCGTTTGCAAGCAGACTTTTGCCCGAGTAGGCAAGGAGCTATGCAGTCTCCCCAGAAAGAGCCCTCGTCGCCACCAATTGCCATCTTTGTTGCCTCGAATTGTTTGCTTAATCTCCCACCTCTTTTCCACCAAAATATTCGTAACGGTCCATGCCTCTCCGCTGGCCGTAATAGCGGTCTACGCCAAATCCGAACCGACGGCTGTAAAGATTACAGCAAACAAATGGCGAAGCCTGCATGCAGTCTGTTAGGCGAATCTAGCAGGATGAATAGCGCCCTTGTATTACAAGCGTCGCCGTGCCAGCAAATTGGGCTCCTTAGACCTCGAAACAGCTTCTCGAAGATACCTGGGAGGAAGCACAGTATTCTGATATCGATTCGGAGGTTCGGATTTGAATTCGTGCGGTCGGATTGGCATACAAGAAATACTATGAAAGACGATCATCGCGGTTCACGAGAAAAAATTAATTGAAGACGAAGATGGATTGTGCTTAGATGGCCAGCTTTCGGGGTTGCCAACTTCAAAGGGACGTTTTGAATGGGGACACTGCGCCTGCTGATATGTGCAGGTCATCATCGTCGGGTACATTGCCTGTCAAAAACGACGAACCGTACAAAACATCAACAATAAAGGCCGCAGGTCTGGTTTGTGCAAGCTGGCGAGTTTTGCATCAACAGTTGCTTCTTTTTGAACGAAACACGCGGTGAAACAGATGGACAGCGGGCCGGCGGGTTGATGTAGTTGAAAAAAGGGGAGAGACGCGCAATTCGGGCTTGGGCGCCGTTATGACCGGTTTTTTCTTCGGAGGCGGGCAGCTCCTCCGACGTGAAGTTGAAGAATCGCGATACCGATGAGGCTTAGACGACCCATTTCAAGCCTAAGGACACAACGAATCGGCCAATTACCTCTTTCGGAAGCGGCATCCTTGCACATCAGAAGCCTATCTGCATGTCGTGGGACCCTACTTGGACACTTTACCGTGCTAGCGGCGCTCGTGCCTGCCGCCAGGCACTCCAACAGCGAGGTTCGTTGGAAGAAGGGGAGATGCTGGTCAGCAGAGGGGATTGTGCTCACGTGCACCTCGAACAAGCTCAAAGAGGTGTGCCACACAGATCATGATAGAAATGACGACAGTCGACGATTAGTAACAATTGCGGCTAGAGTTCACGCCTTCGTGTAAGATGATAATGGTGGGATGCATGTTTGGGGAATGTGCACGGGAAGTTTCTATTGAGCCCCTCTCCGGAACTCTGATGCTTGGACTTAGGAGCGGAATTAACGTGGAGGATGGGGGAGTTGTTAAGGTTGATTCTAACAACAGAAGGATGGGATGAGATGGGATGGATCAGCTGCTTGAGACGGCAATAACGACACCAACAGGTAAGTTTGGCCGTTTCTCAAGTTCTTATTTCCTTAGGTTAGTGGTAGACACACGGCCAACATTGTTCGCTGTGGAACCTTCAACGAGCTTAGTCACCCAAACAATCAAGCTGGCTTCCCTGTCACAGACAGCCCAAAGGTTTGCTGAATAAGGTTTGATGAGCCACAAGATTTTGCGGGCCCTGCGGAGAATCCCAGCACTTCCAAGCCGCAGGTGCCGAGCAAACAGTGGAACACCCGCTGAATGCCGTCCGTCCAGGCCCTGCAGGACGGCGGCGACAGCACCGTGAGGTGACCCTCGAGGCCCACTTTCGTCGTCCCAGGGTCGCACCACACACTGAACAAGGTCCCGAGTAAGGTGTCGGAATGGCTCCTAACCTTTTTGGTGTTGAGAATAGCCTTTTTGCGTCGCCCGCTCATTTTACCTCACCTACCTTACCTAGGACGCAGTACGGGAGGTGCCTTCGACGGCAAGCGCTGTCCATCAACGTCCCGCCTCCCGGCCCATCCTAAGAATTACATCTTTCGGCCGCCTCGTGCTCCGACCTGCACTTTTGACCCGAACATGTCGTAAGCCCGCGACTTCTTTACTCAGCTGCACAACGCGCTTTGAAGAACAACTTATGCGACCATGGGTCTCGGCGTTTTAGAATCAAAGTCCTTGGACCATGTTCCAGGTGAGTCCAAGTCCCATTTGTGCTTCAACCACCCGCTCTGTCCTCCTGTCATCCCAAAACTGACGCTGTCAATCCGCTCACAAGGCACGACGCGCTACTTCGACGACCCCGACCGCCCACAGGCTGCGACCAACGCTCATCACGGATTGAAGGTCGATAACAGCGGAGATGTTCCCATTATTTTGGTGAGCTACTACTTCAGGAACCACATCGCGACCCGCCACCCCCGCTGACAGCCCTCCCCTCCAGATTCCCCAGCCCTCCGACGACCCGAACGACCCCCTCAATTGGCCACTCTGGAAGCGTGACCTCATCACCTTTGTTCTGTCCATAACCGCCATCTTTGCCACGGCTCTGGGTCCCATTCTCGCTGCAAACACCGTTACCATCGCGCTCCTCTTCCGCAAGAGCTTCACGTCCATCGCGCTATTGACGGGCTACTTCCTCCTTGGAGTAGGCGCCGCTGCTATCTTCTTCGTGCCCTCAGGACGTGTATGGGGGAAGCGCCATCTTTTCATCCTGGGAATATGCATCCTCATCGGGTCGTCCGCCTGGGCCGGCGCCGTTGGCACCAACTACAACTCTCTCCTTGGCGCCCGTGTCGTCCAGGGCATCGGCTGTGCTCCGTTCGAGACCCTTGTCAACGCTGCTGTCGGTGATTTGTACTTCGTACATCAGCGTGGCTCGCGCATGGCCTTCACCAACTTGGCCGTTTTCGGCGGTGCCTTCTTCACACCCATCGTTGTTGGGAAAATTACCCACAGCATCGGCTGGTGGTGGACCTTCTACCTGGAAGCCATCTTCTGCGCCATCATGCTGCCTGCCGTCTTCTTCCTGTGCCCCGAGACGGCCTATCGTCGCGACGCTGCTCTCAACACCGACATGGTAGCCAACACCAGTGACCACGAGATGAAGAATCTGGATATGAACCACGGTCATGACAAGAATTCTGCCGATACGACGACGCTTGTGCCTGGTATGGCCTCCAACTATGGCGCAGACATTCCCGAGAAGACGTTTATGCAGTCGCTCAGTCTCTTTGATGGCCGCAAAACTGATGAAAGCTACTGGAAATTGCTTTTGCGCCCGTTTCCACTGTTCGCTCAGCCAGCGTTCCTCTGGGGCTGCCTCGTTCAGGGAACCATGATCGGTTGGACGGTCTTCATCGGAGTCATCGTTGCCGCCATTTTCCTCGGTCCCCCTTACTACTGGAATGAGGTATACGCCGGTTACGCCTACGTGGGTGCTTTCGTCGGAGCTCTCGTGGGATTCATTATTGCAGGTGTCTTCTCCGACTGGAGCGCCAAGTTCATGACTCGGCGCAACAATGGCATCTACGAGCCGGAGTTTCGCATCGTCATGGTGCTCCCAATGTTCATCATTGGGGGCATCGGCCTGTACGGCTTCGGCATCACCTCTGCAGGGCTTATCAGCAAGGAGTTCCACTACAGCATTCCTCTTGTCTTCTTCGGCTTTGAGGTCGCTGGCATGGTAATTGGCGCTGTGGCCAGCTCCCTCTACATTGTTGACGCCTACCGTGATCTCGCCATCGAAGGCTTCACTTGCATGATTATCTTCAAGAACATTTTCAGCTTTGGACTGACATACAGCGCCTACGACTGGATCATTGCCGGTGGCACCAAGCGCACGATGATCGCTATTGCCAGCGTGCAGGTTGTCGTCTGCGCAACGAGCATTCCAATGTGTAAGTGTCATCTTAGCCCAACCCTTTAAATCGTGAACTGACGAGGATCCAGATATTTATGGAAAGCGTGTTCGTGCCTACTTCCACCAACACGACCTGCTCAAGTTGACTGGCCTTCGCTGAAACGCAGGCCAATTTCCTGATATTGATCTACTTTTACATATTTATTAACGAATGGGGCACTCTGTGCCCAAGTCAGGGCGTTGTTTAGTTAGTGCTTGGGCACACGCATCTACCCGTCACCTAAGATAGCTTCACGCCTTCGCGCGTTGACAAGTGACCGTACATTAGTACCATAGTAATGCTAGTTTCTCTAATTTACTTCGATGTGCTATAGCTAGGCCTGTTTTGTATGAGCATGAATATGGAATCACCAAAAGCCAGCCACCAACAGGTCCGTCCCGGGCAAAACCATCATGGAAGGTCTCCCTCAAGGACGGCCGGTCGGTTGGTCTCTTCGTGCATGGATGGCAGTAGCAAGCGGGAGTGGATCTGATTTGGAGCTTCGAGAGCTATTCGTACCCGACCAAGCCCATCCCCATCCTGGCCCTTCCATCCAGAAACAAGGTCCGCTCCGTGCCGCAGAGGCTGACTATCCGCCACACCACACTGGATGTTTCCTCAACCCCTCACAAAACACAGCATCAATCAGATTCCGCAGTGGCATGTCTTGCTCGGCCTATGAATCCCCTCTCTTCTCCCCTCTCCACCAGCGCGGGTCAGCGCCCCTCCAATCCACACGCCCATCTCTGCACAGTCCCCAATTCCGTCCAGTCACACAAATCCACGACATACAACGACGGCAGCTAATCACATGTGATGACGGAGCTCGCGCCTTGCTCTCGGGCAATGGAAAACAGCAGCAGATCCGCTGAAAAGGAAAGAAGAAAGTATTTCTCATTCGTTTCCCCGGGTATAACTATGCTACGCTATGTTGGGTGTTTGCGCACGCGCTGTGTGTGTAGTGTTGACAGAGAGAGTGTATGTGTATCTGCAAATTCCCTACTCCTTCGGCCTCCTTCAAGGTCCGTATGCTAGTAATCCTGAGCCTCCGCAAGCAATGCACCGAACTTCCGATCCCAAAGAGATAATAAAATCCGACAGTAT